ATTGAGCCTGTTACTAAACAGCAGTCGCTGAGTTGGCCATTACGTGCATCTTTGCAGACAGAACGCATGGTGTTTTGTCCCCAATGCAGAAGTAATTTGTCAGAATATCTAGGTTTCAGAACCGAGACCAGACCAGATTCAGGGGGTGGAGAAACGCCTGATGCAAGTGGGCTGGAAAATGCATGAATGCATGCAGGAAAATGCATGAATGCATGCAGGAAAATGCATGAATGCAGCCAAAAGCTGGTTTGGGGGTATTCCTCATGCGGAAATGACGATATCATGAGGTAAAAAGCTTCAAAAAGTGGATTTTCCATGATATGAAACTTTCCAGAATACAAAAAGAGCGAACTGCTTATAAATGTCTACATTTGCACAGTCATAAAGCTACACAACTGTAGAGCAAAGCATAATTAAACATGCAAATGGATTGCAAAACAGTTTAAAGTTTATAGCCAATTAAATGAAGACTTTACAACATTTTTGCAGCTCAAAAGTGAGGATGCATGACCTTTTTCAGGTTCTTTGTGTTTCTTGCATACATAAACTACAGTACACCTGTGTGTATGTAGTCCAGATGAAACCTAAATTTTAGTGTCTATTTTAAGGATCAAGTAGATTTTGGCTTCGGGTGGTTAAAATTTCTCTGAATCCTAAAGTTATCAAACCTCTGAGCTGAAGGCCTGGACATCGATGCTTGATTTAAATGTAAAAACCAGTTTAGTGGACCAGTATTTGTTCACAGCTGCAGTAAGGAGGCTGATTTTAAATCTGGGCTGCGTGGTAGCGCGGTTGCCTCGCAGCTAGAAGGTTGCAGGTTCGAAACTCGGCTGTGGCCTTTCTTCGTGGAGTTGCATGTTCTCCCCGTGCATGCGTGGGTTTCCTCCGGGTCCTCGGGTTTCCCCCACAGATCACAACGCGCCCTATAGGTTAACAATCGTACGGTGCTTAGGATAAAAGCGTCTGCCAAATAAATAAACACAAATCTTCACAGGAACTTGAGATCATTTACTGCAAAAACACACACCTGCTAGCAGAGGGCAGCATTTCTCCGTTTCTGATCATTTTAGTCAGACTTTGTGAAATCATTTCAGAGGATGTTTTTATTTCTCTTCCTGTAACTTTCTGAGCTACATGAAGAATCACATTTATTAGTGTTATGGATGTGAAAATAAAACATTTCCTCTGAAGGGCCTTTGCGGGTATTTGTCTGCATGCAGTAGATTTTAAAATCGGATTCACTGGTAAGCCGTCCTCATCAGAGAGGACCTATTGTCGGCTCTCCTGTCCTGCACTCCAGCAGGGGTCTCCATCAGCAAGCACAACCGTCCTCTCTGCTGTTATCCAGCCAACTGCCTCCATCCTGACTCTCAAAAGAGAGTCGCAGATTGTCGCCGCCTCTCACAGTCACCGTGTTGACAAATTAGTGGGCCGCGGCGTTGCCGCCTCGACAGGAAAAGCAGTAGAGAGAAATGAAAGAGAATGGTGTTTATTCCCAGAGCTCAACCCCTCTGTCGGCCTGTCACTCTTCCTACGGCCCTGAGGGGAGAAACGGAAGGCATCCTGAGCTTCCTTCCTTCCATACCTGTTAAATCATTCATCATCCAACTGCCTGATTATTTTAAAAAGCTAACAAGGCTTTGGTTCTTCAGCGTGCTTCTGTGCATCTAGGGAGAGCGAGAGAGTGGGGCATAGCTGGCGGTGGGATGCACCCCGTGGCTCCTCTCACCCCATCCCCTCATACACCCACTCCCCACAACTCTTTGGTTCTACAAAACTTTTAGCGGAGGGGAAACTCGCTCCTCCTCCTCCTCCTCTTATCCTACTTTTCCCCTCCCTGCCTCCTTCACACGTCTCGTCTAAACTTTTATTTCCACGGGAGACAAATGGAGCCATCATTAGCTTGGATGTGATTGTGTGTGAACAGAGGGCTGGATGCCAGAGGTCGAGGCCCTTCTGGGTCAACGTGGCCGACAGAGGCAACAGAAGAAGCTGCTGCTGCTTTACAGTCTTGGTGCGTGTTGGTATAAAGGAGACGAGCAGCTGGGAATCAGGGTGGTTCAATTAGATTTAGCATGTAATCATTCAGTTACTTGGCTTTGGCTGGTTTATGCGTGTTTTCTTCCTAACCTTGATATATTTCCAGTGATGGACTTCATTCAATAAAGATAACAGCAATGCTTTATTTTACACTTGAAGGGATATTTTTGCTACACTTGGCTGCTGCTGGTGATATTAATGTCTGTAAACAGGAGTATTTACATTCATTACTCAGGTAGAAGTACAGATACTAGGGTGTAAAAGACTTCTGTAGAAATTTAAATATCAATTCAAGCTTTTTACTCGAGTAAAAGTTTAAAAAGTACTAGTTTCAAGACTAAATGGTAAATGGCCTGTATTTGATATAGCGCCTTCTAGAGTCCTGGAACCCCCCAAGGCGCCAGTCATTCACCCATTCACACACACATTCACACACTGGTGGGGATGAGCTACAATGTAGCCACAGCTGCCCTGGGGCGCGCTGACAGAGGCGAGGCTGCGTAGCACTGGCGCCACCGATCCCTCCGACCACCACCAGCAGGCAACGTGGGTTAAGTGTCTTGCCCAAGGACACAATGACAGCGACAGACTGAGCGGGACTCGAACCCGCAACCTTTCGATTACGGGCGAGCACCTAACTCCTGTACCACCGTCGCCCACACTAAAGTATAAAACTTAAAGAAATGTCAGCATAAAATATTTCCATTAAGGACAAAAGCTTGAGTCACACCACAGCACTACCCCCCCCCCCCCCAAAAAAAACACTTTAAAGGCCATAATAGATGAATAGACTTTATTCACAGACACAAAGGTCCAGTACAGACAAACTCAGAAACAGCACCAAAAATAAATACCAGATTAAAATTACATAAAAATTTCAAGTTAGAAATATAAAACGGGCGTACAAAACGTGTAAGCCTACATGATGAAATATACAGATTAAACTACAAAATATATATATAAAAAAAAGAATAAAAGAAGGCTCACTGCAGTCGGTGAGACCATGGAGCAAGACTTCCACACGGCTTCGAGGAGATTCTGGTCCACCGTCCGGCACCTCAGGAGGGAAAGTAGTGCGTTACCAACACCATTTATAGTGGGGACTGTCTGCTGCTGACCTCTACCCGGGACGTTGTGGATCGGTGGTGGTTGTTAAAAACCTCCTTGGTGACAAGGCTCCAGGGGTGGATGAGATCCAGCTGGAGGTCCTTAAAGAGCAAGTCACCCCCTACCAGACTCGTACTCAACTCCCACTTCCTGTTTGAAAACTGCGACAGCAGACCGAGAGGGCGGAGCCGCTAACAAACACACACACACGGGCTCACATTGACATTGTGACATCATATGGTACCAGCTAACGTCATAGTGTATCTCTTGGCCAATAGCGATGGCAGATTTAAATTCGAATGCAGTGCAGAGTTTTTACCTGACGACGGCACGACACTGACAGTTTTAGGCAGAAAATTAGAATTTTAACTAAAATGCACTAAATTGCTAAATTATTGTCTTAGCGTGTTTACAGCACGATTAGACACACATTTATATAGTTTATCAGCAAAAAAAAAATGTTGATTTGGTGGTGACTTGCTCTTTAAGGCTCTGGATGTTGTAGCGCTGTGTTGGCTGACGCGGCTCTACAATACCGCGTGGACATCAGGGGCAGTTTCACTGGACTGGCAGACCGGAGTGTTGGTTCCCCTATTTAAAGAGGGGGACCACAGAGTGTGTTCCAACTACAGGGGGATCACACTCCTGAGCCTCCCTGGTAAGGTCTGTTCAGGGGTTCTGGAGAGGAGGGTCCGTCGGATTGTCAAACATCAGATTCAGGAGGAGCAATGTGGTTTTTGTCCTGGCCGTGGATCACCGGACCAGTTTTATACCCTTAGGGGGATCCTGGAGGGTGCGTGGGAGTTCGCCCAACCAATCTACATGTGTTTGTGGATTTGGAGAAGGCGTTCGACCCCTGAGACGTCTCTCGGGGGGGCCCTGTGGGGGGTACTCCGGGAGTATGGGGCACCAGGCCCTCTAAAACGGGCTGTTAGGTTGCTGTATGACCGGTGTCAGAGCTTGGTCTGCATTGCCAACAGTAAGTCGAACTCGTTCCCAGTGAGAGTTGGACTCCGCCAAGGCTGCCCTTTGTCACCGATTCTGTTCATAACTTTTATGGACTGGATTCTTAGGTGCAGAAAAAGTGTTGAGGACATCCGTTTTGGTGGCCTGAGGATCAGGTCTCTGCTTTTTACAGGCGATGCGGTCCTGTTGGCTTCATCAGAATGTGATCTTCACTGGAGCAGTTTGCAGTCGAGTGTGAAGCAGCTGGGATGAGCACTGATTGTGTTGTGAAGCGCCTTAGGGGGGTTGTAGAGCCCTAAGAAAGTGCTATACAAATACCATGGGAACCGGCTGCTCTAAATCAGAGACCACGGTCGGGTAGAATGCCTTCTCCGGGCAATGCAAAACAGATGTTGATGTCAAAAGTCTGAATTGCCATTAAATTGTCCGTTGTGGATTTAATTGGATTGGAGCTTTTTAAAGATGCATCAAAGCAGTTTGATCTTGGCTGTGCTCAGACTAGCTGTTAGCTCGTCTGTCCTGTCAGATGTAAAAGCCATTTCTCTCAACAGAGGCCGTTTAGTAAGCTAGATACACTTTCTATGAATGGCTGGAATGTCCCTTTAACTAACTGTTAGATTTTTCCAACCTTTAACGCCTTTACGTTATTCTAATTTATGTTTGCTCTACTTACAGCACGACCGAAGGACACGGTTCTCCTGCGTGGGTGAATGTTGCCCGCATCCCATTTCAGACCTCTTTTGTGATAATCTACTACCACGATCTTCTGCTGCTTCTCTTTATGTCCTCTCCTGTTTCAACCTTCACCATCTCCAACATGCTCGTCCCTTCTTCTTTTTCTTTCCTCAGCATCACTTTTCTTATCCTGTTACTCTTTTTCGTTCCAGCAGTCTCCTGCGACCTCTCAGACCACCAGGCAGTGTTCTTTGACCCCAGCCAAGATGGCGCCGGCTCCCTCTCCCACTTCTTCCAGCCCTGCTCTCCAGACCTCTTCATCATCTTCATCTTTATCCTCTTCTTCCTGTCCTGTACTCCGCCCTGTGAGATAACCTTCCTTACACGCACAATTCAAGGTTTATTGCTATAGAAGCTTTGTCAGCACACGGTGATGTGTTTCCTTTGGAGCTTTTAATGGTGGATTTGAACAGTTCCTTTTTTAGGGTGAAAGGATCACTCAACACGAGGTTGGTTTTTATTGTGGGTTGCCTTTCTTCACCCAGAATCGGAATGATGCACGCAGGTTCAGAAATAAACACACACTCATGCTAACATCTGGGCCCGTAACATTTTTTTATAGCCATCATCAAACTTCGAGTCTAATTCAGTTTAGACAGTTAAAATTACTGTATTTTCCAGACTATAAGTCGCTCCGGAGTATAAGTCGCACCAGCCATAAAATGTATAATGAAGAAGAAAAAAAAAACACATATAAGTCGCATTTTGGGGGGAAATTTTATTATTTTTCTTACAAAATCTGAGACCAAGTGTTTCACATTGCAAGGCAAGTACCGGTAACAATAACAGAATAAACAATCAAGGCGCAGCAGCGCGCCACGGTCTCCAGCAGAGGATGGTGGTGTTTCAAACCCTCCCAGCGGGCGGGGAGAGCTCATCCCTGGGCCGGAGCCGGCCTACAGGCTGCAGCAGGTGATGGCGGGGCAGGGGAGCTCATTCCTGGTCTGGAGCCGGCCCACAGCAGCGCGGTATACATAATTTGGTATATAAGTCACTTTGGTATATAAGTCGCAGGACCTGCCAGACTATGAAAAAAAAGTGCGACTTATAGTCCAGAAAATACGGTAGTTGTTTTCAAAGGTTGGATCTTTGGGGAGGCAATTAGAAACCAGTTCTGATGCTGTTGGAACTCCCAAATGTGTCCAAGTGATATTAGGTAAATATGGTAAATTTGGAAACAGTCCTCTTAATTAGTAGTTCTCCATTATTTAATCCACTTTTTGCAGTCTACCTGTACCACAGCATGATGCTACCACCACCATGTTTGACCAGTTGGTCCAGGGTTTTAGGTTTGAAAGTAGAGCTACGCAACGTTACGTTTGAGCGTCAACATGCAATGCAATTGTCACATCGCAGGTTCGTCTGCGATGTCGGAGGAAAATGAACTCAAACGTCTCATCAAACGTTAAGGGCTCCTGGCTCTCAGCGATCCACCGATCATAACTGTTCTTTATCAGTTTGTGGAAGCAGATCACAAGTGACATTATTTTGCATTCCAAATTTGGTTTGCTTTTTCATGCAGGGAGGCATCTGGTTCCATTTTTAAAGTCTTTGTAATGACCCGACCGGGGTTGGAACCCCGATCTCCCAGTCCCAGGGCAGACACTCTACCACCAGGCCACTGAGAAGAAGAAGAAGAAAATATCATTTCTATAGCGCCTCTCAAGATAAAAATCACGAGGCGCTTCACAAAAACAAAAATTGTAAAAATATAAAAAAGCATTTAGAAAATGTTTAGAAATATATTTAAAATGAGCAAAAATGGGCAATTGTGATTAAAAATGTTAAGAAAGAGAGAGAGTGAACAGGAAAGAGGGAAATCAGTGGATCCTGAGGAAGGTGGAATAGGTGGGAGAGCAGAATAAAGAGAGAGAGGTGAAGAAGGTCATACAAAAGCCAGCTTGAACAAGTGAGTCTTCAGCTGCTTTTTAAAGGAGACCACTGAGTCCACTGATCTCAGGCTCAGGGGGAGAGAGGTCCAGAGTCTGGGGGCCACAGCAGCAGATGATCTGTCACCTTTGGTCTTTAGCCTGGTGCTGCACAACCAGTAGGCTTTGATCACTGGACCTCAGGGACCTGCTGGGGGTGTAGGGACTAAGAAGATCACCAATGTAAGATGGTGCTTGTCCATGTAAGGCCCTATAGACCAGAACCAGGATCTTGAAATGAACCCTGAAGTTGACTGGCAGCCAGTGAAGCTGGAGGAGAAGCGGGGTGATGTGGGTGTGAGAAGGTCCGAACACCCTAAAAACCTCTTGTCATTGGAGCTTGGCTCCTCTTCCAGGCTTTGGCAAATAATCTGAATAACTTGTACTTTTGTATCTGTACTGATGTTGTTTAAAAAGGACTTCAAAAGACTTTCCTAATGTGCACGAATCTGCAATTCTTAGATTTTCACAGAATAAAAAAACAGAAAGATAAAAATATTTCTCAGAATGAGCTGCATGAAAAGCAAAGTCGTCACATTTAGATTCAAATGTAAAGCTGGGATATTTTTTTTTTGTGCCAGATTTTATTGATGTCAGATTTTATCGATAACCTTATGGACAATCAGTATTGGGAAATAAAATATGTGAGTGTGTAGAAGGAAGAGATTTGTATTCTTTTGTTCTCTGGTCTTAAATTTCAAATATCCTCCGCAGGAAGCAATCGACCTTATTTTCAGTTTCTTTGCAAATAAACACCAGAAATGGGTCCTCGGTTGTAATGCCAGGGCGTTTCTCTTAGTTTCAGTGTTGCTGAATCCAATCATGACCACTAACAGGATATTAACTCATTCGCTGCCAGCGTTTCTCACCGTTTTTACTGTTATTTTAAGAGTGACAGAACGTTGCGCGCTAGGATGATGTCGACACCAAAACAACCAAAACAAAGCGGAGACTCACCTCTTACATCAGGAAGAATCCGCTCGTTTCGAGCGTCATCCGTTCTTTCATAATCCGTTGTTGAATTGTGATCGGCAGACGCTTTTCCGGTTCGCGCCTCACTTTTTTTACAGCAGCGGCCCAAAATGATCTCCTGACACATGGATGTTCTGCTTCCTGATCATGTGACGTGTGACGTACGCGGATGAAGATCGGCTTCAGAGCTGAGATGGTTGTTCTCACGGTGCGGGGGCTCGTCCGACGCCCACACAGTAAAAACACGCAAATGACGACTTTAGTCGTCATTGGCAGTGAACGAGTTAATAAGAGAGATGATCCACAAAAAATCAGCCTTGTGCACTGAGTTCTTGTTTGCAAAACTATTATTTATGTGTTGTAAATGAATTCTCCCAGAATAAAAACAGTTTAAACGAGATAATATAATGATTGGATGTGTTTGTCTTAATAGTCCTAATTTAATAACGGGACCTACATGTGAGCCGAGGCTTCAGACGTTGCTTTAAACCTTATTTCATTCACACCGTTCCTCTAATGATGGTACTTTGTTATCAAAACTGAACAGATTCCTTAAGAGGCTTGTGAAAAGAGGCGATGAAGAGTTCAAAAACAATCTGCTAAACAGAAACAGTTTTTCTGTCATCCGCGTCAAACAGCAGAAGAGTGTGCTGCAAATGCAAGGGATGTTCTTAGGAAGATGAGGCTCTCCCTTCCAGGATAGTGACTATTAAGGATAGCTTTAATGGGCTCCCGTGTTCCCCGCCATCCCTCCTCCTTGTCTGTTAAGAGATGTCTGCTGAAGTCAAGAGACCAGACGTGACAGGAGCGCCGTAGCGCCTGCCTCCTGTTCTCTGTGGCTTTGCTGTGAGCGAAGCGTCATGTCCTGTTTATCTCTCTGTCTCTTCTGTGCTCTTCCAGAAAGGCCCTGTGGCACCGGCCGTGGCAGTGGCGGCTCCGCAGCAGACCCCTATGGTTATAGCCCCCCAGGCCCCCACCCAGTCCACCCCCCAGCCGGTGCAGCCGGCACCGACGTGCGTCACGGCACCCCCAGGAGCTTCGGTCATATCCCAGGTCTGTTCGCTCTGTACTCGTGTCCAGATCTAAGCCCTGGAACCACGGTTTTGCCACGTCACGCAGCTGGGCAGGGACAGAGTATCACACATGCTCACGCACGCTCGCACTTGTTCATCAGACACCAGAGGACACACAAACTCATCACGGACTCATCAGGGAAACGTGACAAGACTCAGAAATAAAAAACACACAAACATTTAAATATATCCATCTAAAACTCGTAGCACCACTCGTCTTTTCTAAAGATGTTTTATAATTACTGTGTTTTATAGGAAATGCAAGAAAATGTGAAGAAATGCAAGAACTTCCTCGCCACGCTCATCAAACTGGCGTCACACAACTCTCCTTTTCCTGAGACTTCCAAGAACGTTAAAGCTCTGGTCCAAGACCTGCTGGTGAGTTTCCAGAGCAAGCGTCTGGTTTGAAGATCTCAGACACGATCTTTTTAGAAAACCTCACATGCACGTTTCTCTTTGGTCAAACAGTAAATATAACCCATGATGCTCACTGACTTGTGTGTGTTTTTGCATTAATTATTTCCAACCTGTAGATGGCAGCATGCAACTTTTTCCAAAATGTATTTTTTTACGTCATAAATGTTCAGCTCATACACGTTTTAATAGGGTTCTAATAGGTTCTCATTCGGTTCTAATCCGGGTTTTTTCTCCTTCTCTCACTTTTACCTGACAGGATGCCAAGATCGAACCTGAGGAGTTCACCAGCCGGCTGCAGACTGAGCTCAAGTCGTCTCCGCAGCCTTACCTGGTGCCGTTTCTCAAGGTGGATTTCGTGGTTCTGAACTTTTGTTCTTCTGTTGAAACCAGACCCAACCGTGGTTTCTTCTTGCTTACACTCAGATATCCAAACTGAGTTCACTCACGGTCAACAATCGGACCTAAGTGACGTGAACAGTGTTGGGAGTAACATGGTACAAAAGTAATTAATTACTGTAATGCATTGCTTTTTGCTGTAATGTGGTAATGTAAGGCATTACAGGGAAAGAAAATGGTAATATGTACTCGGTACAATTGTCAGTAACGCGGTAATTACAATGCATTTTTAAACCCAGAATCAAGATGTGGGTTTCTTAAAAATTAAAATTGCAGAAAGCCCAAAATAAAGATCTGGTATCTACATATATGACGTCATTTATGGACTCCGCTTTGCGGGCATTCTATGAGCAGAGAGGACGCAGCGGTAACGGCTCAAATACTCAAGCTGCGTCCTGCGCACGGCCGCTGTTATATTCACAACATCGCTCCACCAAAACAAAATAATGAACTTGCGATCGTTCATATCAGCCCATATTCTCTGTACTTTCTGTACTTTTCTGACGTGCTTTGCCTCAGCTGAGTTCATAATCTGTGCCCCGGTGATTTCAACTCATTGCTGCTGGAGCGCAGCGCAAATTAAGCTTTTTATTTTATTTTTTTGCGTTCGGTAGATCCCTTTGGCTGATCGTTAGAAAGTAGGAAATCTAGGAAACATTTTCTCTGGAAGACGGTGAAAACATGCAGCATGCAGGAAGGTTAGAGAGAGAAAGGGCCGGAAATTATTCAAATAAAATCAAGAAAACAAAACAAAGAGCTTGAAAAGAAAAAAAAGTAGGTAGATTTATCCCCAGTAGACATTTTTACCAGTGAAAAGCAATAATATATAAGCATTTAATATTTATACATGTGATAGAATCAGATCACCCCAGAAGTCAGTCCCACATCCAGGGCCGTATCAAGGCATTTGGGGACCAAGGCAAATATAGGCTTGGAGCCCCCCCACCACCTCACTCCCTGCTCAGTTAATCTAAGATGGCGGCGTGTTGAGAGTACAGATTGTTGTTGCTTTTATTTAATAAACAATCATTTTAAAGCGCTGTTATTATATCTGACTGTTTTTAACAACAATCCTAGCTCAGACACCACATCACTTTCCACATATATGTCATGAGCTCACTGAGCGTCACATGACCAGATTCATACTGAAGTTGTATTGGTAAAAGTAACTTAAAGTAATGCAAAAATAGTGTAATGCCTTACATTTTAAAATCTGTAATATTGTAATGTAATGAATTACTTTAAAATGAGGGTAACAAGTAATGAATAATGCATTACAGTTTTGAAGTAACTTGCCCAACACTGAACGTGAATGTGATAATTGACCCGCACTTGTGTAGCGCCTTTCAGAGTCAGGGCTCCAAAGAGCTTTATACTAGAACTAGTTCCTTTTCGTTTATTGGTTTTACATCAGATCATTGAGATGAAAACATATGAAGTTATTGTAGAAAACATCATGCATTAATTAGCAGTAGAGTTATAGTCCCTGTTAACTTTGTTTACAAGAGAGAAAACAAGGTCGGGTTTTAAAGTGTTTTTGTCTGCTGCAATCACAGCTATTCACAAGCATACGGAGTCCCTATGGCGGCTTAAAGTCCTTGAAAGTGCTTGGATTTTTGATAAAGTTTTTGAATTTGATTGTAGAACACTACAGAGACAAGGATGTTAAATAAATTGTGTTGCGCATGCTAATGCTAAAGCTAAAGCTAATGTAGACCTTTACCAGTATAAGAAAGTAGTGGATACTAACCTTGAAGACTCTTGAAAAGTTATTTGATTTAAAATTGGATGGAAGTAGTCACACACACACACACACACACACACACACACACACACACACTCGTCCGCGCAGCCACCAGACGTTAACTTTAATGCAAGCATTCATCTTAAAACTCTATGTGGGCACATTTGGAAGTTAGCTTTTGTAATTACCAAATAGTAAAGTTTCAAGTCATCATTATAAAACACACTGAGTAACATGAGTTATTTTTCTCTAATAAATCCAGGTATGGTCATGTGTCTCCACTTAGGAACATTTATTGCGATAACCTACAACATTAACAGTGTCGTATTTTTGTTGCCTCTGTTTTTCTCTGCAATTGTAACTTCTGACCTTGTTCTCAACAACAGAAAAGCCTCCCGGCCCTCAGGCTGTCTCTGCTGAATAGTCAGCAGTCCCTGACCCAGCCCCTGCAGCAAGGAGTCAAACCAGCGGCCGGTGGCACCCCTCCTGCTGCCATCGTGGCTGGGCCGGCTGTCCGCATACGGCACCCTAACAGCGTCAGCACCACCGGTGCGCTGCCTGCTGGGACGCTCGGACACACAGCTGCTATGGTATGTACAGACCAGACCAGTTTGGACTTTAAATATGGCGGCCATGTTTCTGATATCTATGCCGCCACTGCTCTTCAGATGTTCTTCGTTAATTGTTGTCATGTTTGTGAGAAATCAGTCAAAATTAGTTTTAAAATTTCCTGAAGATGGAAAAAATTTGACCCACACAGACCTGGCACTTTGTTCTGCTGTAAAGTGTTTACTGCAGTGTTCAACAGTGTACCGATGTCGTTCTATCAGATATTCATCTACCGAAGGACCATACCCACCAGCTGTCGTCTTCTGACTGGCTAGCAGGCTTATTAACAAACACGGACAGAGCACTTGGACCAATTGACAGAAATAAAATCCAAATGTTTATGCTCAGTTAAAGATATCGGCCAGAGGCAAAATTCCTTTGAATGGCGTAAAGAAGTATTAAAACCTCAGATGACAAAGGTTTTGGGATTTTCACGGCTGGAATTTTTAGAAAAGCTGATGTTTGTGACCGGCGCGGGAAAAGCAGAAACTAACTTCCGGTCTAAGCCCCGGGCAGCTGGTGACGTTTCACATGGAGCTCTGCTGAAACCGCTATAGTAAACAACGCCCGACTCCGGTGTTTCTGCATTAGGGTTACAGCAGAACAACGTGTCATCAGTCAGGTGAGGCTTCTGAAGCCTCTGCTAGTCAGTCAGATTAGGGTTTTCTCTGGGATACGGCGACAAGAACAGATATTGGATTACCGTAGAAGTTCAACCAAACTCCGATCCCGCTAGCTGGCTATCACTACCGGAGGTGCAGACGTGTTTTAGACCTGATTTGACCATCAAGGTGGATTCTGTTCATCTTCAGAACCAAAATCGGTACAGTTTGTTTACTTTTGTTCAATATTTCTTTTCTGTGCTCCACCGGGAGCTCCAAGCTGACGAGTTCTCAGCTGGTCTTAGCTCCATCATGTCCCAATATAGTTCAGTAATCTACAGATATGTGTGCTGCCAGTTTTACCGCTCCATGTATTTATTGATATAACTCTGGAAACTATGCAACTAATAGCTTACCACAATAAATCTTCCTGATGCTGGAGTAACTCCTTAGTTTGACTCGTTTGCACTAATCCAGGATGACACTGAAGATCTACTGGTCCATGGAGGACCTATTGTTGATATGGGGATCATCTTTTCGATTATATCTGTGTGTCGTAGCTTTCCCAAATGACTTGTTTTATTCCTTACCGGAGCTAACACGGTTAGCAGTGTTGCTGCAGTCATGCTAACAGGAAGTAGCGGTGCGGTTCTAGATGGATTTATAGATGTAGGTTATTATTTTAGATCAGACCTATGTTATTTAAAAATGCGTGTAGGACATGAACATATGACTCAGACCTTTTGCTGCAGCTGTAAACGCAGTTTTCCATAATAATTGAGAGCACAAAAGTAAACAAAATACAGTTATTCACAATACTAGCAACAGCAGCTAGCTTGTTTTACGTGTTGGAGTGACGTATGTAGAACACACTTCTTCACTCGCTGGAGGAGAGGATTTTGATTTTCTGTAATGATTTATGACAAAATTCTTTAACAAAATGAAAAACTGAACCCAGGTCATATTTGTATAGATGGTAAAGTGTATTTATACTGAATTTCTACAGTTTTAATGCCTTAGTCTGGCCACTACCTTTAAACATATTTATAATCATTATTTGAAATCTTCTTTATATTTTAATTTTTTTGTTTCTGAAGCGCCTCGTGATTTTTATCTTGAGAGGCGCCGTTTTAAAGATCATTTTCTTTCTTTCGTTACTCACAGCGGTCAGTAACTTGTCCAAGCTCTTTTTTAATTCTAAGGTCATTTTTTGTGTCACTACTTTTTACCTACCACCCGCCTCTGGTCAAAAGCCTTTTTCGTCCACGTTTGGATGCTGTTTGGTCGAGATGTTCACTTGGACCCCTTCGTTTACACCGCTGCCTCCTGGATAACTCCACATCTGAGAGCGTTGCTGGCATCGACTTGTCGTCCTTGGACGTAGAACCTTTCCCTGGAACAAATATACGCCCTACCCTTGCTCTGCTACACACTGAAAATCCACTCTTCCACCTACATACTGTAGCTACATCGTAGAAGAGTTAACCCCACTAGCGTGTGAATGTGTGCGTGAATGGGTGAGTCACCGCTTGTGTTGTGAAGCACCTTGGGGGGTTGTAGAACAATCATAATTGTCATCTCATTGAGCAAGTGTAGCAGGAAAAGTTGTGTTGTTTAACCAGTGTGTGTGCAGGTCCTACACCATCTGTGACTTACCAGAATGAAAATACTCTGGAAGGTGATGTTTGGTCATCTTATAGCTGTGATCCAACGAGGCTTTGTTAGATACTTGGTCTCCATGGTTATGCTGCCAAGCAGCAAAACGATGGGAAGTTAGCCCGTTTTCCATCTTTATTCCCCTGGTGATCACATGTTGCACCCCCCCCCCCCCCACCCCCCCACCCCAACAACTGGGCTTCATTTAATTCATTTTCAATAACATTTGAAAGGATATGTCCAGAGAATAACAGTAAAAACTACACATTGTCCCTTGAAGCGTTTACAACTTGGATTGTTTAGTTTACGTTCTGTTTGAACCGAAGAGCATCTGAATTCCTGGCCGCTGTACGTGTGCGGCTACTGCTGCTGTATCATAGAGATTTTGTTTTTATTACCTAACCCTAACGGGAAGATTTATCAATGGAAGACCCAGAGCTGAGTCTTATTCCGTTTATTACATCTTATTACTGTAATCACTGGTTTTCTTCTTCATCCTTTCTTGAGCGCAGTTTTCTTCTGCAGCCTGATGAGTTTCTCCTTACTGGATTTGCTTGATACAAATTAAAGGTGCACTATGTAAGAATTCTACTGGGAAATGACCACAAAACAATCTACTGTCTCAATCGTGTTGGATGGAAGGTTATACTGAAACAGATTTCATTCTCAGCCAGCTGGGGAGTTGTCAGTTTTTCTCCTTTAAAAAAACAACAAAAAAAAAAAATAACAGAGGTTCGTAGTTACCGTTCACACCGAATTTTTTGACTTTTGACAAATCTGCAGTGAGCTAACGCTGCAGCGCAGGCTTTTGTAATTCCACACTTGCAGGCAAAAAGCTCCAGAGTTGTTTAAAAGAACTGAAGCCAGTAAACAGGAGCGACTCAGAAGTTATTTCTGGTTCCCCCAAGAAGCCACGGCATATTTTTGCTTTACTCTAATATCAGGTGAAGCAGGCTGGAGGCTAACGTTGAGCTAACAATGTTAACGGTGAGTTAGAAGCAAATAGTCCACTCAAAAAATATCTTAAGCTACCATTTCAGTCACTAACAACTTTATATTGCAGTGAAGTGTACTAAGGTGTTTAATAGTTTTGTCAAATAAAAGCTTCACCAATCGCCGTACCTTGTATTATAACAGGTAAAACTGGCAGTTTCTTTGAAAATGCACAACCATAGTGTGTGTGTGTGTGCGTGTGTGTGTGTGTGTGTGTGTGTTTTCATGAGACAGAGGTGGAGAGATGGTGAGAAAACTAACAGCATGTTGTGGACGTTGGCTGCAGCCACCCTATAGATGTTGAACTGACCTGAGGCTGACCCAGTTACCTTACTTCACCCTTCGGTGGTTATGGAGGTGGGGGGTGGGTACAGTGAGAGAAGCTGCTGGAAAGGAAAGGGGGGGATGTACCTCGAGTAACTGATGAAGAGAGAGACGGTGGTGAAATAAAAACCTAAAGAAAGCATAGAAAGTGAAAAAAACGCTCTGGTTCCCTCACTCCATCTTTAATTTGGACCAGACCAGTTTCAGTCTAACCTGATGTAACCTGTCTGCTCCATAGAACACACGCACGCACACACTAATATGTTACAGGTGTGTTTTTAGAGAAGCTGTTGGTTGCACTCTGCAGGTTCTCTGTACTTATTATCAGCTGGAGCATCTGCTCATGGGCAGAGTAAACCCAAACGCCACAGACTCTGTGGGGAAAACAAAGTCAGATGCAGAAGAGCTCATTTAACTTTCTCTAGATCAGGGGTCTGCAAGCAGTGGCTCTGGAGCCACAAGTGGACGTTTAGCCCTTCCACAATGTCTCCCAATATGGCTGACTAGAAACCATATAAGCTAACTCATGCTTTTAAATATAGATATTAGGGATGAGCCGGATACCCGTTTCAGACTGGTATCCGGTAAGGATAAAGCCTTTCTGACGAATACGAGCATGAACTGCGCTGCTCTGGGTGGCTGCATGTTGGAGTAGCTCTGTTGACTATATGTAAGTTTTGCCTTTTCTTGGACATTTTTTCTTCTAGTTTCTCAAGAAAAACTGTATTTTTTTTGTGGACATTTTACTTTTCTGTTTCTGGTGCTGTGAAGCTTGGAAGATTTTTACTGCTCATTTTTAGCTTTTTTTCACTTTTTGAGCATTTGTTATGATGCGTAACCATGACAACAAGCTGGTTTACAATCTGGAGCAGCTGATTAACATTGGGAAGGCTGAAATAATACCCCAACTGAAGCCACAAATCCCAAATGAGCTAAAACGCAAGAAGCGTGGGTGCAGAGCGGGAGCAAAACGGAGACAGAGAAAGAGGAAATTCAAAACATCTCTTCCATTGATCATAATGGGCAATGTGAGATCACTGGCCAACAAGATGGAGGAACTCCAAGCCCTTTCGAGGACTCAGCCAGAGTTTCGGCAGTTTCGGAACCGCTGGAGGAGAAAATGCAAAGAAGGATTCTCCAGAGAATCAAGAAAATGATGGACAACCCTGAGCATTCTCTTCACAAGACTGTCCGACAACGGAAGAGTGTCTTCAGTCAGAGGCTTCTTCAGTTTGGCTGCAACACTGACCGCTACTGGAGATCCTTCCTGCCAACAGCCATTGTAATATACAACAAATCTTTGATGACTTGATTATTATTATTATTCTGAACTACTACAGCAATCAATTTCCCTCTGGGATTAATAAAGTATTTTTGATTTGAATTGAATTGAATTGAAACAAGTAAAACTCGTAAATATCTGTAATCGTGCTGAAGGAAAATCCTCATTGGGTAACTTGACTGTCTTCACGCTCTGTGATTGGTCAGTCACATAGAGCGCCCGCCCCTCCCTACACACAAAACTCTGCAGCTGGGAGCTCAGTACGGCCCGTGCATCCACACACACACACAGACAATAACGGATCTCTCTGTGCTTGCTTTATTGCCTCTGCTCCATTTTCTCTCTCTCTCTCTCTCTCTCTCTCTCTCTCTCTCTCTCTCTCTATGTATTCATTCATGCACTTAAATATTAACGTTCTGATTTTATTGAAAAACTTGTTCTGTAATAGTTCCTTTACTCTTGTGATCAATTTCAGACTTAGAATAATGTATTGATGTAGACCACACCCACTCCCAGATAAACCACACCCACTTCCGGGTTAGGCCACACCCACACCGAGTACAGATAGTGGTGTACTCGCTCATCCCTAATAGATATAATAGAAAATATAGGTTTAAGCAACTTTTCTGTTTTTCCGTAGAACAACAAGTTAAAGTAGAGCCTGGGGCACACCGGAGGCTATCACTTTAAAGCGTCGTGCCGAGGCACAGAAGATAGGCTCCAGTTCTATCTCAAGTGCCGCGACGCGGCTGTTTACAACATTGGGGAGTACTTTACAACAGACATTACGATGGAGAATGGCTTTACGGCACAAACTCAACAAAATCCTGCCGCAGTTTAGATCATTTTAAAGTACTATTGATCTTAAAATATTCAAATAAATAGCGTACTTATCCATTTTTCATGAATTCGAGTCTCACAAAACACTACGGCAATTCTGATCACGTATAAACAATAGAGTCACTTCCTGCTTTCTGTTCTCAAGTCCCACGTGATGTTGTGGCTATCGCGCGACTTTCCCAGAAGTATTCAGCGGCGCGACACGTCTTGTGTGACCACTTCTCGAAATCTGCGGCGCGGCCGCCTCCGGTCAGTGAACTAGTCCTTTAACGTTTAAGGAACCTTTTTTTGATGTCCACTCATGGGAAGAATCTCAAAATGTCATAAAACCACAACTTAATGTAATGTTTAACGCATCACACCATGGAAAACACCGTTTGAATGCAAGATGAGGAGTTCAGCTTTAGCCTTATACCCTCTGCTCATAATTCTCCAACTTCTTACCTTTTTTTTTGTTAACTGTGTCGCCAGCTGGCCAGAGGTGTTAGCTATCTCTGCCTATTATGAATGTATTTTCACCCTTCCCTCCCACTCCTGCAGACCCCTGCAGTGGATCTCTGGGAAAAATAGCCTGTGTCTTTTTTCAGTTGCTTGAACAGTAATATAGCATGTGTCAGGGAATGGAAAACAAGGCTAAAAAATATGCAGCAAGAAGCAAACTGGTAGGAATGGATGGTTGAGCCAGAGGCTCGGCCCGTAGCTGCCACCAAGAAAAGAAGGGACTCTAATAGCCCAGCGTGGTCCGCCCCCCTTCCTCTTCCTCCTCACTTTGCTTCCTCTCCCTCTACCACCACCACTTCTTCTTCTAAACCACCATTTCACCGAGGTCCTGACTTCACATTGTTTCTGTGTTTTCTGCAAATATAGGTCACGCACACGGGGAGAAAGCCCTTCAGATTTTTTATGCCTTTTTGACCATTTTCATCACCACACATAAACTTTTTACTATTTAACAAAAATAAAATCCATAAACAAAACCCCAAACTGCCTCATGGCCAGTTTCCTGCCCTCCAGCAGTCAGAGAAAATAGATTTTATTTTTTTCTTAAAGAATGTCCTGAGGGGTCTCAGAAATGAAGCTTACGTACAGAATTTTACTTATTTTTTACTTTGTAACTTTTTTCAGATCATATGGAGTATGTGTATACGCACACACACACACACACACACACACACACACACACACACACACACACACACACACACACACACACACACACACACACACACACACACACACACACACACACACACACACACACACACACACACACACACACACACACACATACACACACACACACACATATGTATATATACACACATATGTATATATATGTGTGTGTATATATATATATATATATATATATATATATATACATATATACATATATATATATATATATATACATATATGTGTGTATATATAAATATATATATATATATATATATATATTTACACACATATATATGTGTATATATATGTGTGTATATATATTTATATATACATATATATATATGTATATATATATATGTGTGTACATATATATATATATATATATATATATATATATATATATTTACACACATATATATGTGTGTAAAAATATATATATATACATATATATGTGTATATATGTGTGTGTGTATATTTGTGTAAATATATGTATGTTTGTGTATATATGTATATATTTGTATGTATATATACACACTATATGTATATATATATACATAGTGCACATATATATATAAATATATATGTGCACTATGTATATATATATATATATATATACATGTATATATATATATATATATATATATATATATATATATATATATATATACATGTATATATATATATATAGTGCATATATATATATGTATATATATATATACAAATATCTACATATAAACATCCATCCATGGTCTGAACCCGCTTTGTCCATGTAGATTTGGGGGTGGGGGTGGGGGGGGGGGGGGGGTCCTGTGACTATGGTGTCTTTTTTTGTCAAACTTGTTGAAATTAAAATTTCCCTGTGCTAGTGAACTACTGTGACCTTTTTACAGAACTGTTTCCTCCAACGCTCCTTGCTGTCTGTTTTGGTTTGAGAGGGTAGGGCGACGGTGGCACAGGAGTTAAGTGCTCGCCCCGTAATCGGAAGGTTGCAGGTTCGAGCTCCGCTCAGTCTGTCGCTGTCGTTGTGTCCTTGGGCAAGACATTTAACCCACGTTGCCTGCTGGTGGTGGTCGGAGGGACCGGTGGCGCCTGTGCTCGGCAGCCTCGCTTCCTTCAGTGCGCCCCAGGGCAGCTGTGGCTACATCGTAGCTCATCCCCACCAGTGTGTGAATGGGTGAATGACTAACTGTGATGTAAAGCGCCTTGGGGGGTTCCAGGACTCTAGAAGACGCTATATCAAATACAGGCCATTAACCATTTGGTGACGAAGCGTCTCTGTTTTTGATTGGTTGGGATTAAGTATTAAGCTACCCAATAGTCAAGAAGAGGACATTTTCATTGACCCATTTGTGTTCTATTTTGCTGTACGTCCATAGATCGATGTATGTTGTTATTAAATTATTGTCCAGGCCTAATATTTTGTATATATATATATATAATCTTTTTTCCTTGGGGGTGAAGACTGGAGGGACTGTTGGTGGACAAGTCCGGATGCCCATGGTGATCACTCAGTCCATCAGACCACAAGGTGAGATGTTCTTCGAGCTTCTTCAGCCACATCGGTCCTTAGTGGGTTTGTTAGTTAGACCTTTAGGCCGGTTCACATGACTGAATTTTTAAACTGTTGGACACTTTTCAACGCAAGAGAGACCCCACACGAGGTGCTAAAACATTACAGGTCCAACATTGTGTGGTGTCTGACAACATGGCTAAAACTAGACACAAATGGATTTTCCTCACCAACATTTCCCAGGAAATCTCACAAAACCTCCAAAGAACAAACATGAACTTCAGAGTTACCAAACAAGGTGGAGGAGGAGCGTGCAGCGGGCTTCTGTCACCTCGCTTTCTGATCAGCTACACGTCAGATCCAGTAGGCGACATGCTTGTTTGTTCTTGGAGTCACAGATTTATGATCGGAGCGGGACCGAGCATACAAGAGCACTCGTACACACCACATATGCCAGGAATATCTGTTAAGGTTATCTTAATTTGGTGCATCCTTAAAGAGCAAGTCACCCCCTACCAGAGTCTTACCCAACCAGCACTTCCTGTTTGAAATATGCATCAAAAGGTGGTGTTGCCTGGCAGGCTGAGAGGGTGGCGCTGCAGCAGTGATGGACAGCGCCATCCCGGGAGGATCGGGTGTAAAAATCGGCATAAATATCTTGCTTAGAAACGTTTGGGAACAAAAAATGTAAAAATGTCCTGAAATTGCATAATAGAGAATTTGATCTGATTTTAGTTGAAGAAGCCTGCAGACATACCCATGGCGGTTGTGATTAGTGAACGTGAGAATGTTCCCTCAGCTGGAGGACGTGTAAACAGGCTCAGAGAGAACAGGTGTTTAAGCTGCCCCCCCCCCCCCCCCCCACACACACACACACACGTCTGGTTATAAAGCCTCCTCAAACATTTGTGCTGCTGCTTACTCACTCTGATTCACAAACACTCTTCCCACAGAAGCCCACAAATATCGCCTCAGCACCAACCGAGTATAATGCTCCCCTAAGAGAGTGGTGTGCTCTCAAGTGGTGTGTGTGTGTGTGTGTGTGTGTGTGTACACAATCGGAGGTGCATACAAATTTGATCTGCCCCCTTCCCTGAGACTGCCTGCAGTGAAAGATCTGTAAGTTGTTTTATGCCCATAAATTGGAATGCGGGGATAGTTCTAAAAATACTTTTCTGCGCCTCCTGGCTGAGAACATGCCTGTTAAAATCAAGTTGAAATTCACTCTGGCAGTCCCCGTGCCTCTCCGGAAAACGTGTCTCGGAGCAGGATGCGGTTTAGGAGTGTAAGGAAAGCCGGTGAAGCACAGTGATATTGACAGAGCGACGCTCTCTGCAACCAACCTGGGGAGAGTACACCCCCCCCCCCCCCCCCACCACCACCACCACCCTTGTGAGGATGGCTGTGGCAGCTGAAGGTGGAGCACATGTGAGGCAGATAGAAGGGGGCATTTCAATGATAACATTATCGCCATTCCTTTTGTTTAACATATTTTTTTCTTGTTCCTGCTCCTTAACAGGCACAGTGGGGAAGGGAGCCATCATTCAAGCAGGCAGAAGTCCAATGGGCCTGCCTGTTCAGATCTCTGCCAATCAGAAAAACAAGCTGAACGACCCCGGAGGAGGCTCTTTCAGGTACATCTGCATGTTGTTTCTGTTGGCCACCACATGGGGGCAGCATTTCACTAAGCAGCTCCTTCTTGACTATGGGCTGCACACTACGCTAGAGCTGTGAGTGTCTGAGCTGGCTGCCTGCCTGAGCGACCAGCTGGATGATCGGTGGTCCTCTCTCTCGTCGCTCCCCAGCACATAGCAACGCACTGCCAGCCAATAGATCACCCTCAAAGCTCGCCCTCTTTGTGTCAGTGTCACACCTCACTGGCAGGATTGCAAATGAGCTAAATCTTAATTTAGAAGAAGGATAATTGTGTCCAGATGGTTGGAATTTCTGGATGTGGGTATGAAAATACCTTTTGGTGAAGTCACACACACGCAGCATTGTGCCTGCAGCTTTGCTCTCTCTCTCTCTCTCTCTCTCCCCTCTCTGCTTCTGCTGGGCCTTTGTCTCAAAACACAAAAGACCCCTCGCCCACTCGCTGGCCTTTGTGCTCTGTGATGTGTGTGAGCCTCTGCGTGCTTTTTATTACTCTGTGTTTGCGCAGCATTTAGTCTGTATGTATATGTTTGCATTCCGCTCCTGCTCGGGCGCACATGTGCTCCTAATCTGGGAGTTCAGGAACATTTGTGCTGGGCTGGAAGGTTCAGGACGACCCCGGTGCGCCTGGGCCAGAGCCAGAGCCAGAAGAGTCTGGGTCGTGCGGGCCAACGGGTTCATGGTAATGGCCACTGTCTCCTAAGGGCAAAGGCAAAGCCCGAGGCTCCGATTGATAAACCGATAAATCTTTAGCTGCGTTGGTAATTAAGCTGTCAGGCTCGTTTGTTACTGACGACCTCTTCCTCCCTGCGGTGATCGCAGTGGCCCATCACACACGGATGCACGGGTTCATCATAAGCCCAATGACACCACGGTCCCAAAAGAAACACACCATAATCTTCTGTTAACCCTTTGACGCATGAATTATGAAATCTTCAACCATGATTTTTTTAAACTATTTTTTTCATTCATCTAAGTGTGAATGAAACAAATTTCAACAAATATTTCTTGTAACATTTAATAATTTATAAATAATTCATTACATGTTCACCTCGGTGGACAGCGTGCGTTCTAAACATGAAATATGTCGGCTTGACTTACTGAAGTCCAAATGGAGGGGCTCAAATGCGATAAAGTCTTCAACAGCTGTGCTCAAAGCTGCTTTCCGGAGTTTTCCTCTTTCAGAAATTATGTATAATTTGTCAGAAATCCGTAGAAGTGGTAATTTTATCATGTACCATGGACGTAATTTTGGGGGGGGGGACAGGGGGGACATGTCCCCCCCACTTTTTCCAAAGTCAAGTTTCGACCCCTGCACTTTTTACCATCCAAAAACAATATTACGCTATATTAAATTGACACTGGTTGAGCTCTAGGACCAAGCGGAAAACAACCGTTTGTGTTGAAGCCTGTTCCCCATTAGAACATACTGTAAAGATACCCCCCCCCCCCCCGTGTCCCCCCCACTTCTAAAGTGAAAATTACGTCCTTGTCATGTACTGTGATATAATATAAGCAATACGTCTTTTGTTTTTTGCTAAGCACGCCCCCTGCCCCGCAGAGCTCCGTGCAATAGGAAACTTGGGTACCGACCAGAACTAACCAATAGCGTTAGAATTCCGCTTTCAAATTTAAGGAATACCTCGGCTGATGCAGAGTTGATGAATTTTCACGGACAAGAAAGTCTCTAAAATTTAAATATATGAAAACACAACATGACATGAGAGTAATACTCGTAAAACAACGTGTTTTAGCGGTTTGTCGGCTACAGAAGCACATTTATAAAACAGAAACGTGAAGTCGCCGTCTTAAAAAAACAGAGGAACAGCGTATTTGTGTGATACGCTTCTCAGCCACTAGATGGTGCCGTCGGATAAGAGAAGCTTTAATAGCAAAAAATAATACCAATTTTTGAGTACCTGTCCACTGTAGCGATCGTTATGCATCAAAGGGTTAATAATGTTTCATACAAGTCAAACAAACCGTTAGCGTCCCCCTGTAATTATAAACACCTCCTAAACCTGGTTGGTGGTGTCTGATTTTATGTCAAATCAAATCAAATCAACTTTATTTATACAGCACTTTTCATACAAAAAATGTAACTCAAAGTGCTTTCCAGATTAAAATGGCCCCATATATCCCATATTCCCAGTACAGTTCCCCTCCCGCACCCAACTTCCAAAGTGGACAAACAATCACCCGCACACTCGTCCATGCACACACACGCACACACACACACACACACACACACACACACACTCGTGAACACCAGAGGAAACAATAGGCTGAGTTCAGATGGGTCAGGTAATGAACGACACATCATCAGCGGAGCCATCTGCCTCGACAGCAACAGATCCACGGCAGCAGCCAAGACACCGGCCCATGACGCCCAGTGGCGTAGGGCAGAAACCCCCACCAGTGCCCGGGCACTACCCGAGGAGCGCCCCAGCCGCCGCCGCCCCTGACCACCGGCCCCAAGGCAGAGGGCTCCGCAGAGGAAACACTGGAGGATTTAAGATATATAACATATAAAATAATAAAAGCTAATAATGATAAAAAGTAACAGATAAAAAGTGATTATAAAGACAGTAAAAGAAAACATAATCATGTAAAAACACTAAGATGTAGATAAAATGATAAAAATAATTAAAAGAGATAAATATGTATTTATAGATAAATAGTGATCAGTTAAAAGCTAAGCTAAAAAGGTGGGTCTTGAGCCTATTCTTAAAAGCCTGGACGTTCCCTTCTGCCCTGAGGTACTCCGGCAGCCCGTTCCAAAGGCGAGGGCCGTAATACTTGAAGGACGCCTTGCCGTGGGTGTGAGTCTTAACTTTAGGGATAACTAGGAGACGGCTGCCAGAGGAGCGCAGAGGCCGCGAGGGTTTATACAGTAAAAGCATTTCTGAAAGATAAGAAGGCCCAAGACCATTAAGACACTTAAAAACCATTAAAAGAACCTTAAAAGCAGTCCTGAAACAAACGGGGAGCCAGTGCAGTGATTTTAAAACCGGAGTGATGTGCTCCCACTTCCTGGTCTTCATCAGGACACGTGCTGCTGAGTTTTGTAAACTTATGAGTTTCTGGTTGCTGTTTGTGTCGCGGCTCAGCTCAAAACGACAGACGCAGCTTTAGCTTTGGTTCTCAGCGGTGGCAGCAGCTCAGATACCTGGTTTATTATTTATTTTAAATTCAAGTTTTGTAATTCAGATCAAGCCACCGTGGTTCTGGTTTTAGACGTAACTCGAGTGTAAGCCGGAATGGAAAGGTCTCCGAGCCGGTTACCTGAGCTTTTCTCTGGACGTGGTGAGGGCTGCTGGTTCCTAAAGCCAGCGCCGCCTCACCGGGCTGCGGCTGTGTTCGAAAAGTCATGAGCGGAATTCTCAAAGCCAGTCTTCTGGATCTCCTCAGGTGGGTCGCTCTCGTGTCCAAGGTAACGACGCAAATTTAGCTTGGAACTTTAGTTCCTGCAACTGTGACACAACTTCTAGAGGTGACCGCTGAATGGAACAAAATAAGCCACATGACATCATCCGCACCACATGACCCAACCAAATATGAAAGGTTGTGCTAGAGTGAAGCGATTCAGCACGATTCTAACAAATATCTGGCATATTTTCTCCAACTGGTCCTTATCCCAGTGACATACTGGGATAACCTGGAGGGAAATACGATCCCGAGCCAGTCTCACACACCGTCGGGTCGCTGCCGCTTCTCTCACCTGCTACCGCGTGACTCATCTAACGCCTCGCCGTCTTCACACCGCCGCTGAGAACTGTAACTTTAGGTAACAACTCGTCTGTGAAACGAAGTGGCAGATGTTTACAGAAAGGAAAAGGAAGTTGCCAAAGCGTACGTTTGGGTTGCTAAATCATCTAAAGAAGTCGGTGTTTAAACAACAAACCGGGAACTTGTTTGAAATACGAAAATCTTTTGGAAGCAACTATTTCGCCTGCAGTTTTTAAAGAGGCCTGAATGCTTTAATAAAGCCTGACCGCGCCTGTTTTAGTAGAAACACACAGAAATGAGGAGTTGGCCTGGTGAGTCAGCATCCACCAGCCTCCTCTCTCCTCCACCCAGCCTGCATTGTGTTCAGCTGCAGCCTGGCTCTGATGCGTGGACGGCTGTCACTCTGAACCGCTGGTCCCGACGGGCCAGCTGTAGCACAAACACACACTGCAGGGCTTGTGGGGTTTCCAGTGTAGCTGTGTGTGTGTGTGTTGTTTACAGTGCAGAGTGAAAGCAGCTGTCTTTGTGCCCCCCCTCCCAACCTCATCCCGTCTCGTCTCGTCTTCCTCCGCTTATCCGGGTCCGGGTCGCGGGGGCAGCATCCCAACTAGGGAGCTCCAGGCCGTCCTCTCCCCGGCCTTGTCCACCAGCTCCTCCGGCAGGACCCCAAGGCGTTCCCGGACCAGATTGGAGATGTAACTTCTCCAACGTGTCCTGGGTCGACCCGGGGGCCTTCTGCCGGCAGGACATGCCCGAAACACCTCCCCAGGGAGGCGTCCAGGAGGCATCCTGACCAGATGCCCAAACCACCTCAACTGGCTCCTTTCGATCCGGAGGAGCAGCGGTTCTACTCCGAGTCCCTCCCGAATGTCCGAGCTCCTCACCCTATCTCTAAGGCTGAGCCCGGCCACCCTACGGAGGAAACTCATTTCGGCCGCTTGTATCCGCGATCTCGTTCTTTCGGTCATTACCCAAAGCTCATGACCATAGGTGAGGATTGGGACGTAGATCGACCGGTAAATCGAGAGCCTGGCTTTCTGGCTCAGCTCCCTCTTCCCCACGACAGATCGGCTCAGCGTCCGCATCACTGCAGACGCCGAACCAATCTGCCTGTCGATCTCCCGATCCCTCCTACCCTCACTCGTGAACAAGACCCCGAGATACTTAAACTCCTCCACTTGAGGTAGGACCTCTCCCCCGACCCGGAGGTGGCAAGCCACCCTTTTCCGGTCGAGAACCATGGTCTCAGATT